AATCACAGAGCGCAGCAACGGTAGTGTTGGGTATGAACCACTATCGAGTCGAACGAACAAGTGGAAGCAAATGTGCTAAATAATTATTGGAAAAAATTTATATCGAATTATTATTGTCCTATTCACAATGAATAAATTAATTAGCTTCGACACATGTTGCTTCGACTTGATTTGATAACGAATAATTTTGATTGAAATTTCGATAAATATATAAAAATATATAAAAATATTCGTACAATGTTTCCATTTCGTTTATTACGAAAATAACACGAAAATTACTTTCTTTCAGGTTCATGGTGGTATTGGTGTGCCTCATATTTAGCGTTTTGTCGACCATAGAACAATACAGTAACTTCGCAAACGAAACCCTCTTTTGGATGGTAAGTGCTCCTTCATCGATTATTTTTAATTAACAAAGTGACAATTATAACATAAAAACAATATTAGATAAATTTTCATAATTTTTGTGAAGTAATAAATATACGCGAATTGTAGTGATCCCTACAACATCAAGGGATTCGTGGAAATGAAAGTTGACATGCCCTCGCTATTGTTTGCCTGTCAAACTTCCTCGAAATCATACGAAATCACACGCGCCTAAACACACCGCGCAAACAAAGCATCGTTTCGCGAGTAATTCGAGCGTAGCTTGTTCGAGATAACCGAATTTAATTAATTATAACGGGATTATAAGCGGAAACTTGGTTCAAAGTTCGACGACTTTCGAGGAGGGAAAATCTCGAGCCATAAAGGCATTCGAACAAGAGCCACTCGCGAAATCACAGGGAACGATCTCCTTTATCCGATGTATCTTCCAAACGAAGTGTTCCATCGGTCTTTTACCATTACTTTTACGAACTTCTCGAGTAAACTGTGTGCTATTCTTTTATCTCCGTAAGCCTCTTGCCTATAGTTTCAGATGGTTGTTCAAGGCCATTTAGCCACCTCCTTTCACTCTATCTATATTTTCTGCCGCGTCTCGTCGTTTTTATTGCTTATACGCGAAACTTATCGCTTTGTGTATCGCTTTACATTTTCTGGTTTTCTACGTAGAAAATTTGGAAGGAAAGTAAAATAATAATTGATATTTCTTAAATAAAATGAATAACGTTTTACGCGTGATACACGTTAATTAAAATATATTGATCGTAATTATATTTACCGTAATTGTATCATCCTGAAAAATGAATTATTTTATCGAGATGAAATTCGATTTTTATCTACGGATGGTAAAAGGTCATATGTAACGATATTAGTTTGATTAATTAATACTGTTCGATTCCTAAACTATAAATAAAACTTACTTACTGAAACGATTCTTACTTTCGTATTCGTTTCGATAACATTAAATCTAAAAAATTTTATATTATCGAAAATCAAAACGATTTTCCCGTTTCCAACAATTAAAATACTCAACATACCAAAATTCATTCGCCTTGAATAAAATACGATCGTAGCGCAATTTCCACTGAAATCTTTCCACTGTAATTGAAATTCCGGCAAGTTTTCGGTGCGTGTCGCGATCCTACGAAATGTGGTCACGTTTCATCCATAAGTCATTATGCAAATATCACGGAATAAGGGCGGAAGGATCGCCCGAAGGGTTTGTCAGCCCCTTCTCGACCCCTATGTAAGTGTTCTTTCTGCGTAGGTACCTGTCCAAAGTTATTGCAAAACCATAGATTCTGTTTATGTGTCTAAGGTATACATCATAAAAAGCTAGAGACTTGACAAGTTGTCCCTAATGACAAGCCATTCCCTGGCTTCCTCTTCTCTTCCGCATTGACAGGATAAAAATAGACGCGAAAAGAACGAGTTTGGAATTTTTTTTTTTAATAATCAGTTCTCTCTCTTTTTTTTTTTTACATACAATAATCATAAAAAATATACTATTTGTATTGTTATTGCATTATAGATGAATTGTATATTTATATTACGTATTAATTAATTAGATTCAAACAAGATCGAATAATGTTTATTGCGAAGAAATAATTTAATTTTAAAATTCCAAATTTAACATTTAAATATTTTATCTTATACTTCATTTTTATCTAAGCAAGTTCTAAAAATCTTCAACTAATTTTTCAAATAATTAAAAGGATTTATATATGTAAGCCATACATTTTTGTGATAATAGTAATTGTTCTCAAATGAATCAATGATGGAGTTCAGAGATTGTCTTTAACAATTTTATTTTAATTTTATTTCAGATGTGTTATTATTGTGTATCTCGAATCAATATCAACATGGTATAACATAAGGATGGGGGAAAAAAGAAAAAAAAAAGAAATGTGAAAGTTTCACGAAACAAGAGAACATCGCGATTCTGTCATCGATGTCCCCATTTTTACAGGGCGTCGTGGCATTGCAATAAAGGTCGTAACAATCGATATAGCATCTCTATATAACGTTGGAGCTCGTTGCACATTTATTTTAAGAACAGGGAACTAATGACTGCGCTACCCCAGAAAGTCATCAGGAAAATGCCTTTCTCGCCGTTATTATGATTATCGGTCGGTCGAGGCAATTTATTTCACATTTTTCTGGCTCATTTACCTGTACATTCACGTTTTTTTTTTTTTTTTTTTAACGTA